TTCTCATTCTGTCCCTCTCCCCCGCTGCTGACACACACAGCGACCCTTCGGCTCAAGTGCTTCAGATGGACACCACCACTCCCCCTCATCACATGATGGAGCACTGCTCGGCTGACCCGGCCCCGGGGCCCCCAGGAAGATTGAGAGAGTCCATGTCAAAGTTAAAGCCAGGAGGCTGGAGAGGAAGAAAAAAAAAAAAGAGGAAGAAGCCTATAAATATTTGTGCTCATTTCAAATCACATAAAATTCAGATTAAAACATCAACCGCAGTTCTGTTATGAAAGGGACAATCAAATTACAGCACATTTTCTTTCCCTGAAATCTTAGTGAGGTCAAACACACAATGGTGTTTTTACTTACCGCATCACCTGCTAGCTCTTTAGGTGGTTGTCCAAGGTCTTGCAGCTGTTGGTAAAAGAAACAGGATGAGTTACCAGTTTCACTCTACACATAAACTGCTTTTTTATGAGATAAGAGATAGTGCTGCATCACCTTTTGCATCAGGTCCATGATCCTCTCAAATGTGCTCTCTTTATCTGCTGCACCCTCTCCCTCTCTCTCAAAGAGCTTACAGATGTCTCCCATGATTTTGGCCTGCTGCTCATAGCGCTGGTAATCCTCTGGACTAAGGCTCGGTTTGTTGGTTTCCAGCCACTCTGGGTACTGCAAGAATGAAGTAGAGTTAATACAAATACTGAATGGGACACTGCAGAATATAATGTCTGCTATAAAACCAAAGGCACACCTTAGTAGTGATTTCCTTCAGAGATGGATAAAGAACCTCCTTAGAGAGAAGATTCTGCATGATAGACTGCATGATGGGCAGGATGTTTCCATCATCACCACCTCCTTCACCCTCCTCCAACCCTAGGCCTTCTAGTGCTTTGACAAGATCATCTCCAGCTAGTCCCGAAGACTGCAAAAAAACAATCAGACTATGAAGTTGCTCTCATTTGCAAAACCTTCATTATATTTGCTCAATTTCAGCTTGACCCACCTTCAGGTTGTCTGCATTTTTGGCCAGCCCCTGAAGGGTTTCTTTTAGACAGCAAGTGAATTCTTGTTGGGAGGCAGTGTCAGTACCTGCTCAGAATAAACAGAGTATTTTGTGTAAACTAACAAGCCAAAATAGGCAGAAGACTAGAAGTAAACTATAGTCAACACAAGCCTATATCTTACCAACTTTTCCCGCAGCCTCTGATAGCTTTTGAAAGTGTTGGAGAAGCTCCGGCTCCTCCTGAGCCAGCTCCGTCATGGCCTTCTCCCACTCCTCCTTAGCTTGGGCAGCCATGTCCCCTTCAAAGAGAGTCTCGAAGAGCTTACAGTCCTCAAGCAAAGGGGGCTGAGACAGGCAAAGAAGAGAAAACAAACAAAATCCCTTATATAGAAATAAGGAAAAACAGAGGAAGATGTTCTTCTTTTCAGTGCATCTGAATTGAAACAGTTTTGTTTTTTTATTCTAGACCCGACTCTAGCTTACAATGTTTTAAACTTGACATAAACCTGCAGCAGTCTTGCTTCCTAATAGTAAAAGAACCAACATTTGAAAGCTCAAAACTAAAATAACACTGACACTTTCTAGTTGCAGTTTTGGATAGAAAATTAACAGAAAAAGACAAAAGCACTGCTCTATCAGTCAAATATTGCCATCTGCAAATACTGATATTTACTGATATCAGGAAATAAGAAAGTTGCGATGTTTATCTGTTGTTTTTAGAATAAATTAAAAAACTGAAAATGTATTGGTATTCACTATTAGCCAAACTTTTATTTAAAAATTTGCCACCGTGGTTGGACTCAACTCTGATGGAGATGAGACAGCGTACAGGACGGATGTAGAGAACTTGTCCCTCTGGTGCTTAGAAAATAACCTGAAGCTGAACGTCCTTAAATCAAAAGAACTCATAATGGACTTCAGGAGGCACAGACAGGTCCATTCCCCTCTCATTAGAAATGGAGAACGGGTGGAATCTGTCTCCACCTTCAGGTTTCTGGGCACCCACATCTCAGCTGATCTCACCTGGACCCACAACACCATCGCCCCGGTAAAGAAGGCCCAGCAGCGGCAGCACTTCCTCTGTGTCCTGAGGCAGGATAATTTGAACCGGAAGCTGCTGCTGGCCTTCCATTCCATTCTAAATATTATATTCTATTCTAAATGATTTCGCAAGCACCTTTTGTGCACCACTGCTGGCTGAGGACGAAGCGGCTGCAGGGTCGGGGGCTGGAGGGGCGGGCGCCTTGTCAAAATCATCCAACGCACCTGAAAGAAAGCGATGACATTAAAACCAATTCACTCAAAATGCTTTTAATGGTTTCATACTCACTGACAAATAATTATCCAGTTATTCCATTGCTATGGGATAACTGGATAACATATAATGCTGCAGCAATTTTTCTGAACTTTAAAATAGTCATTCTTGTTTTTAATCAACTCATTCTGTGTTCAAAATTTAAAAAAAAAATCATTATCAAAGAAATGAGCAAAAACATAATATATTCACATTTTAAAACACGAAAGCAGTGACTTTTTTTTTTAAACTAATCAATTAATCAACAATCACTTCATTCTTCAAACACCAATTCTAGCCTTTAATTAGGAAAACAACAACCTGCTAAAGTTTAAACTGAGCATAAGAGTGGCAAAGACAGGTTATTTAAATAACTTAGAATATGGAATGGTTGTTCTGAAACTGCTGATTTACTGGGCTGTTCCCACACAACCATCACTGGGGTTTACAGAGAATGGTGTGAAAAGAGAAAAGATCCAGTGAGCAGCAGTTCTCTGGGTGAAAATGTCATGTTGATGTCAGAGGTCAGAGAATAGCCAGGAAGCTTCGAGCTGACAGGAAGGCAACATTAACTTAAATAACCACTCAATGCAACCAGTCAACATACAAAATATGCAAAATACATCAAACTTTGAAGTACATGGGCTATAGGGGCATAAGACAACGCCAGGTGAAATTCCTGCCAACGAAGAACTAATTTGAACATTAGAAGATTAGAAAAGGTTTGACTGGTCTGATGAGTCTTGATTTCTACTGCAACATTTGGATGGAAGGGTCAGAATTTGGTGCACATAACACAATAATATGTTGTCTTATATAAGACAAATGATGACTTTAAACTGAAGGAAAAACATATAAAGCGGTTTGAAGATTTTTAGCCCTTTTCTGATTGTTTTATTATTGTTATGAATGTCTTTTATATTGAAAACCTACTGTTGAGAAACTAAAACTGTAGATGATTTAGCCTTTATACATATTTGGAAAAATAAAACTGTTTAAATCCTAAGCTGGCTTGTTTTGAAAATTTGCCTTGAACAAAATATGTAGTTAAGGAAACTGACTCCGTGTTCTGTGCAGATACACGATGAAGGGCACAAACTGAACCCGGATAAAGTTATCTGACAGCAGAGACATTAAGCGATTCGTGCTGACGTTTCTTCTTGGACATTACTCCTGCAGACCCCGGCAGGAGCACCTGACGTTGAGCTAAGCCCTGACACGATGAAAGCACAACAACAACAAAAAAAGGACACAGCGACACCACGAAGCTGCACGAAAACCCCACTGCTGTGTTCAGAAATACACACACTGATAAAATATTAATGCCGACTCTTACTGTCCAATAATTCGTCCAGCTCTGCATCGTGCCCATCGGACGACCCTCCTGGTCCTGACGCCATGATGTTGCCTTCACCAACCCAGCGCGGAAACTGCCGCTTCTGCTGTAAAAATGTCGCAAACACCTCTACGTCACTCCTCCGAGTGAGCGCCGCCTCGTGGCCGGTTAAATAGTTTACTCTGGAGCAAAGTGTTGTTTAGTGTTCTGGAAAACACGCACACAAAAGCACAAATGTTTACATGATACTTCCTGTATTTTATTTGTGTTTGTATTAGAATTTATGTGAGTTTTTAAATGTTTTCTATTTATTTGTGTTCCCCTCCTTTTTGTCATTATCCCATCTTCACCTCATTGATCTTATTTGTCCATTGATCTTACAATGGACAAATTCTGTATCTGTAAATGTATACTCATTGATAAGAAACCACACTGATCTGTACATTTAGTCAATTTAAAACTCGCACATATTAAACTACAGTTGTTTTATTTGAGAGTTCTGATAGAGAAGTATAGAGAAGATTAGAAGGACTTGGACTGTGAATCTAGCCAAAGTGTGTGATAGAATGAAGTCAGGAGTGGCAGAGAAGTGTGAGGGCGGTGCGGGACACGTATGAGGACAGTGAGACAGTGGTGATGCGTGCAGTTTAATTGATAGATGGGTTCAAGGTGGGGGTGGGATTATATCAGGGTTTGGACAGGTTGGCAGATGAGGTCAGCCTGGAGTCTCTGTGGACGTCGACGTTGGTGGCTCATATTGTGATCTATATTGAGAGCAGGCAGCAGGTGGAAGAGAGCCTGGAGAGATGGAGGTTTGCAATGGAAAGAAGAAGAATGAAAATACGTAAAAGGCAAGATAGATTACATGTGCTTGAATGAGAGGGAGACAGGTGTAAGAGTGAAGCTGCAAGAAGCGGTGATAGTAAAGGTAGTTGATTTTAAATACGTTGCGTAAATCATCCAAAGTAATGGATGGTGCACACGAGAGGTGAAGAAGAGAGTGCAGGCAGAGAGGAGTGGGTGCAGCCAAGTATCAGGGGTGATGTATGATAGAAGGCCAGCAGCCAGAGTGAAATACAATTTTAAGGCTTACAAGATGTCCTGCTATGATGCCATCTTAGAGATCATGGCGCCATCACTGGAAATGGTTACATCAGAGGGGCAGCTCAGGTTGAATGGCTTGGAGACAAAGTTAGTAAGGAAAGGCTGAAATGGCTGGATCATGCAAAGAAGATGGATAGTAGATATACTGATATGCATACATTTGACAAAGGGTGTTGAAGATGGAGCTGCCAGACAGAAAGATTTATCAAGACATCACATATTTGCAAAAATGCGCCGAAGTTTTTGGAGACGTCCATTTTTTGTCATGCTTTGTGGCAGCTTTTGAACATCTGTGACATCTATTAATGTCAAATCTAGCCTTTATTTAACAACATAAGCAAACTCTATGTTACAATAATTGCACAGCCATTAAGGATCAAATCAGTTTCTGAAAAATGTTCCTTTTTTTCTCCCTCTGCTTGCTTCTTACTGTCTTTGAGGCTCGGGACCAGCACTCCTGTTGTTGGACAGAAAGACATCAGTAAGTATTTTGGTTTTCCAATATATTAGCAACTGTCAGTGACATTTATATTAATCAGGCTGAACTTTAATCATACTTTAGATCAGCCTGTTTTACTTATTGTTTTATTTGTCCTGTGGTTTGGGGAAGTTGTTTCTTTACTGATCTTTTCCTGTCTTCTGTTATTAGACTTGAGATATGACTGCACTATGCTGTTGCTGGTGACTCCAGTTAATTCTACAAGACATGCTGTGTAAGTAAACAAACAACAACAGTTTGGTCTGCATTTCTTGAAAGATCACATCCCCCAAACTTAGTTTAGAGGGTCTACACTGTATATAGTGAAGTCTGCAAGTTTTCTAACAGCAAAATTTGTTTTGTTCCCAAATCATTTTGCACATCATTAGAATGAAAGTTATTGGCCATGTTTGCATAGCCCTTTTTAAAATGATGCTTTCATGACATTATTGTGTGTTGGGTGGTGGTCACGGCTATCCAGACTGACAATTGGGACATTGAATGTCACCTCTCCGGTGGGGAGGGAGCCTGAGATTGTCCTAAATTGGAGTCTGTTTTATACCAAATGCAGAAAAAAATGTTTTAAGAAAGCAATTAAGTTCATGTTCCAAAAAATATGATTGTTTGCTTGCAGGACACCAGGAGAGATGAGTCCTCCGTCACAGATGGTGTGGTCAGTGAAGATGGTCGCCTGCAGGTTCAAGCTCATTGCATCTCCAACCCACATCCACTGCCACCTACATTTGGATCACCTCGATCCATGATAGTCATTCAGGCAGTAATGCCTGGACTGGAAACAAGCATCCTTAAAACATTACAACATTCCAGCTCCTGTGTTGGAATGAAAAACAAATGTGTTGTTTAAATCAGAGACTGCACTTGTGACAGAACAACAAATATTTTATTTTGATTATATAAGTAAGTACAAAACAAACTTGTGGTAGGCCTAAACTTATTTTCAGAATAATTACATCTGAGACTTTGTTTCATTGTAAGATTATAACAGTGATGGCAATATAATTGTTTGTTGTTCAGCAGAACAGTGTCCAGTATGTTGGCTGTTATACTTTGTTGTGTTTGAAAATAAAAGTTGGGCTGATTTTAACATCATTACAAAAAGTGTTGTTAATTATTTTTAATCATATTCAGGTTACCACAAATTGTTTTTTCATTTAGTTGAACTTGAAATGTTTGTCAGTAGGTAAACAATTAAAATTGTACAGTCAGAAATATCAAGTTATTCTTAATACTGCAGACTTGCAATGTGTAAGTTGTCCTAACAGTCATCTTAAGTAAGCTTTACTTAGTTTTTTTGAGGCAACGAGTTTCCTCAATTTTTTTGAGTTCTGGGAACTAACAAGGCTGTACAGTGTACTCAAAATGAGTAAGTTGCCCTAACTTGGTCATCTTACGTAAACTTGATCCAATTTTCTTGAGTTCTGGGAACAAATGAGCTTGTACAGAGTACTCCAAATAAATAAGTTGTCCTAATGTAGTCATTTTTAGCTAAGCTTTACTCAATTTTTTGAGGCAACGAGTTTCCTCAATTTTTTTGAGTTCTGGGAACTAATTAGATTTTACAGTGTAGCCCCACGGGCCTTAATTGTTGAAATGTGAACGATTTAAATAAGTCAAATCAGTCTTGTATAAATGCCTATGTGATACCAGAGGTCGGGGGTTTCCTTTTTCTATTTTCAGGAAACGTCTCAGTTTTACAGTCCATACAAATAAATATGGTTGTCAGGGTGTCGTTGCTAAGCAACAGCATGAAAAAATATACTCCGAGTGTAAAGATTCAGAGGGAAGCGCTGACAAATGTTTAGCACATCCGGCCCGTAGCGATAGTAACGCTGATGGAGATGACAACATTGACTGTTCACGTGGGGGTTTCTAAAACGTTAACGTCTAATTTTCTAATCAGATATCAGGCAACTCAGGGGTGTGTCCAGGATGGTACGTTGTGGGGAAATCTGAATATTTAATCACAAATAAATACAGTGTAGAAAGTAGGTGGATGATTTTCAGTGTTTAAACATTAGTTTTCATTAAGCAACTTATTTTCCAAGGAGCGAAACACATACTTATATAATTGCCCCCATATAAAAGTCATGTCCCCACTTAAGTAACACAAAGGTTTTAGGATACCATTATTATCAACATCACGTTGTTAGATGATAATTATTGATTCATTAACTTGTACATCACTTTTACTTTGCTGCTGGAGATTATTTTACTTACTGAGCTATATATTTCTGATTGGTAGTAAAATATACAATATAATAATTAACTACAGCTTTAAAATAAACAGCAGCCTACAAGATTTGCAAGTAAAATAAAAATAGAATATAGAACTATATTCTATCACCAGCCCTATGCTTTTGTCCAGTGACATTATGATTAACAGTACTACAATTATTCAGTAATACTTATGTAGTTATGACCACGTGTGAATAAATACCAGATTAGAAGGAGAAAGGAAAAAAATAAAAAAATTTAAATCAAATCTTTTTTTAAATTATTATTTTATTATATTTTAGTTGTTTATTTTTATTTACTGCTACTGGGATTATGGCTGATCTGAGCTGTCCTAACTCAAAATGCTGCAATGCAATTTCAAAGTAAGTGGAAACAAGTGATGTTAAATCGAGATTTTGAGATTAATAACCTGAAACTCTGACTTACAGATGGCAAAAATAAGTAAATAAATGAATCAGTCTCTCTCACACATATACACAAACACAAGCACATACAAATCAGATTTGGAAACAAGCTTCCATAGCTTATAGCAAGGTATTGCTAATTTCCCAGCCATTTTCTCTTATCAGCTTCTTGGGTTCTGCCACCATCTTTGCCATTCGTGAAATCTCCCTTAAACTTCAGTCCAAGATGTATTTGAGTGATACTAAAATTAATTTAGGTCATTGTTCAAAATAAGTAAATATCACGATGGGTGGCAAGTCGTGCCTCTAGAAGGATTCTGGCACAATGAAAAGTGAACTTTCAGGTAGCTCGTTTCCAACAAGCATATCAAGCTGCAGTCACTCACAGAAGCTTTTCATTATTTTGATTCCCTGCTTTTCATTAGTTTTGCACCAATAAATAGTATTAAACTAATTAGGAAGATTAGATACGAGGGCTCAGAGTAACAGAGCAGTAGCCTGGGTAGCATGGAGGAGGGAGATGAGGAGGAGGAGAAGGAGGATGATTTAAGTCAGACGAGAATAACGGTGCAGACATTTGACGCCTAATTTGGTTTTTTGGGCGGGGAGCAGCTCGTCTGAGCTACTAGAAGATCCAGCCAGGGGGCTGAGGACCTGCAATCGTCGGCTCTCCTACCACTTGCATGTTCTCAGGAGCTGAGAGCAGCAGCAGCAGCAACGAAAAGCAGAAAGGAAACTTCCCGCTGTGGTGTTTTTGCGATCAAGGTAGGCGTTTTGAGAAGTGTACAGGAAAGTTCACAGCACACAGTGGTAGACTTTACTGAGAAGAATTGATTACTTAGTCTACACTTTTATTTTTATAAATCTACAGGCTTTCGACGAATTAGAATTTTCCACCACGAGGAGTTACTTTAAATATCCAGATGTTTTACTAAATATTATCGCGTAGTTCGATTTTTCAAAAGAAAATGTTTGTTATATGTTTTTGAGACTATATAAAAGACTGCAGTGTGGTGTGTTTCTGTGGTTGGAGCAGGGTGTGGCAAGTGGCACTCCCACTTTACTGTCAATGAATGAACTGCATGAGACTAAAACAGAGCTGTCAAACTTACATGTTTTACTTTACAAAGGGGTTACATTCTCCTTTTACCTATTCCCTGATATGCCTAAATATTTCTTCTTCTTTTTTTTAAGTTTTTCCTTTAATTTTAATTAAGAGATGTGGCTTTTGTTGAGTGGGTCAGTCTCAGAGAAGCAAATTGTGATCCTCACTGTACCTTTTATCAGAAAGATTTTGTGCCTCGACTACTTAGGATTTTTTCAGCAAATGCCTATAAAACCTTTCAAAACGCAGTACTCAGTTTTGAATACATTGACATCATGCTCTGACTTGCACATACTGAAATTGTTGGCCAACAGAGTTCATCTTGTTCATCTTGTGCCTCCAGCTCTGTAAGTGGATTATAGGTGAAATTTAGTAACTAACGTTGTGTCATGCCAACAAAACAAGGACACCTCATGACCTCTCTGCTGGGACACTGAAACATTCGTTTCCTGAACATCTTGACATGATAGTACATCTTGACATTTGTGTGTGCGTGTGATATGTGTAAAACGACTGTGCAGAGGAGCATGATGCTGTCACATCCTGATATAATCTATTTTCTATTTTCAGCATCTCTTGCATTTAAGGAAGCCCCCCCCACCCCCCACCCCCGCTCCCCACCCCTTGTGATTTCCGTGCTGTGCGACAACACTTTTTCCACGCTTTTTTCTCTATCATGACTATTTTTCTCTCCTTTATTCTTTCCTGATTCAATTCCACAAGTAGCAAAGCAATGGCAGTAGGAGTAGCGGGACTGATTTTTCCATTACGACCCTCCATATTCATTTATTTTGAGTGGTTTACACAAAGCGTAATCGGTACCCTGACTCTCAGGCTGGGTTGGGACTTTTGAACAGGGAGGGAGAAAGAGGACAACTGATGGAAAAGAGAGGGAGTAGCCAGCCACCAAATGAGACCACGAGGAGGAAAGCAAGGAAAGAAAAAGAGAAGAAAAGACAAAACTTGGCAAACATGACAAAGTTACCAGTTGTTCAGCAGCAGCCAGACTGCAGCACATCTGGAACCCATGAGTAACTTGGAAAATTTTTATAAGAAATAGGGGAGGAGGTAGAGAGAGAAAGGAGGAGTGGTGAAAGCAAGGGGCCTTGTAGTGACTCAACCTTCAGCTATTCCACTCCATCACTGTGTTTAAACTATGTGTCCTTCTGTGGCCAAGGCACAGGGCTTCCCCCGTGTTCCCCTCCTCCTAGGGTGAAGTGAGTCATCCTGAATCAGTTTGCATGGTCTTTTTTTTCCCCATTTCTCTCTTTTTGTCCACTTCTTTGTCTTGATACCTCACCACCAGTTTAGATTTTCATCTCCCCATCCATGACTGTGTCATAGATGTTTAATAGGACTAATGTAAACAGGCCTTTTCTCCATGTTTATAACTGTCTCTCTGTGTAAGCTGTGTAAGGAGAGGAGCACTTGTGGAGCCAAGCAGGCAATAGGTGTCATGAGGGGAAGGGAGGAAAGGGAGGAAAGGCAGCCAGTGTTGCTAGAGTGAATCTGAACTGTAAAAATGTTAGATGTGGAAAGAAAAAAACAAGGAAACAAATCCAACCCCCCAAAACACCACTGTAGATCAGCTGCTATATAGAATTTTCCTAAAAGCATTACAGCAAGCACAATGACAGGATATGAACTCTTCTGTAAGTTGACTAATCTTGTCAACCTTGCAGTGCAGTGCAGCTGCCCAACCAGTTGCAGTTTGAGGTAAATTATATTATCTGGAAAATACTTGCATACAGATCGCTAAAAGCATTTTGTAAGTAATTTTTGGTATGAAGTCTGGAGATAACACTAGTACTAATTATTTTGGGTGGAAGAGTGAGCAATAAAATTGAGCAAACGGTAAGAAGGATGAGGGATAAGTGTACCAAAAGATATAAGGCAAAAACAGCGATGCTGTGTTTTGTATCAATTTGTATCAAGTTAAGTACTTTTCGAGTGAAAACGTTGCATT